TATTTTAATTTTTCGTAATTATTTGCTATACAGTCCTACTATAGGATCCAATAACTCTTATTCCTCTGTAGTTTGTTTCATTGTCCTCTAGAGTCCTTTCCTTTAGATTAGTGTTATAATAAGACGTTCGCCGACTCTGATGAGGATTGTTCTCCATTCATGCACCTAAAACTTGTTTTGAGGCATTTGGTGCATGTTATAGGGACCATAGTTTCAGTAATTTGCCGGTATAGTTTCCCAGAACAGGTGACTTTTGAGTTTCATTGTTTAAGTGCTTTTTCTAAATCTTTAATTGTGCAGTCTACCTTGCCTGCAATTTTAACTTCTTGTGTGTTTGGAAGTTTCTGTTTTCTAGAGCAGTCTTCCGAAATACTCTTTTCCATTTATTGGAAAAAGAGATAAAAGGAAAAATAGGAGAGGAACAATAGAGAGGCATGGAGACTGAGAGCTGAGAAACGGCGACAGCTGTAGAGCAACTCCGTACTATACATATATATTGTTTTTTTGTACTAGAAAACTGATGGTAATGGCTATGCTATAGAAAGCTGCAATATTGTTGCAACTAAGCAATATTGTTGGCAATGACAACTTAATTATTTCATTGTAAATGCCAACGATAACACACCCCTATACCAATATAACACACGTTAATGAAGTAGCGTGGTTAGAAATGGCATCCAATAATAATAATAATAACAACAATAATAATGTAATAAGTAGTAATAAAGTAAAATAAAAAAAGAAATAATAAATCATAATAAAGTGGTGACAAATAATATAAAGCAATAAATTCAAACTGTAACAAACTTATGTACTAGTAAGTCTATTCGTTGGCCTTTAGAAACATTTATCATACTCCAGAAAAGGTTATATTCACATCTTGTCCAACATAATGGAATTAAAATATTCATATGATGCCAAAAGGTAATGATACAAACAAAATTAAACTACTTGTTTGAAGTCCACACAAAGCATTTCGAATGTGATTGCCCAATTTCAAAGAGCTCATCCATCTGGTGTAATTGGTTACTCAAACTCCATGGATGCCAATATGGAATTCTATTGGTGGCGTTAGTTCGTGATAGAGATATCAATCACAAAACGTTGATGTTACCAATTATCGTGGTTCAAAATTAAAACATTGATGTTATCATCAATCAAAAATCATCTACATTTTTAAACATAGAGGCAATATTTTAAACCCGTTTAGTAATCTCTGAAATAAAATTTGTGGGCTCTTAAAATGTTTAAAAATGACTTAAAACCAAAGAAAAACACGAAAAATTTGATCAAAACCAGTTCAGATGAACTGAAGCTGAATATGACAGAGATGTAATTGAGGGTTCTTCTATTCCTTCAAGTGCACTCAGCTTGCAAACTTTTTTTTGACTGTTCGTACTTCTGTACGAACTTTTGATTTTGATGGTTCGACTGTAATTATCCTGAAATAGGCCAAACCGCCAATGGCGGTGATAGACATCAGAGGAACCATACAACGGCTGACTTACAATTTCTGAAATCAAATAGGCTACTCAGGAATTCTAATTCAGCCTAAAAGCTTGAGCACCCACAATAATCTCAAGAGGTCATAGCATCCCAATTTCACTCAACAAGTGTACGGGACGAAGAGGGCTTTACGCCCACATCATATGCCGACTTTGCATATGCAAAATACAAGGAAAGCTGTACATAATACCAGGACATAAGGGTCATCCTGAGCGAGAAATAGTTTGCTCGATGAAGATAGTGCCATTAGTTCATTTCATGGAAAAGAATGTGAACCACTGTGCCAGTTCGATTTTGGCACCGTCTCATCCGTAAGAGACGCATACAATAAAACACAACGTTCTTTATATGGTGTTAAATCGGCAGACGCAGTGCCAATCCATAGGTGGTTCAGAGGTTTAGGAGGAGGCCGACAGTTGGCACTGTGCCCTGTGTTTTTGAAGAGAGTATTGATATAGAGCTTCGAATGACTATGCACTCATTCAAAAGAATTACTATGAAGAAAAATATTTTGGAGAAACAATATTTTATACACACACTTGTGGTGAAAATTTTATTTTCCTTCCTTTTGGTTGGTGGTGCCATGCAACACTAGCACTACTATACAAGCCATCCCTGCTCAAATTATAAAGCAAACAACAAATAATAACTGGCTCAAGGAAACAAAACACATGACAACATTGTCCTATCACTTTCTTACTGGAAGTTCCTCAGTCTTTCACCAGGCACAAAGATACTCACCTTCTGAAGAGACTTGATCTATTAGGGATGCGCCATCCACGTGTTTTGATGTTGAGTCTTCAGTTTTCATGTGAGTGACAGAATAACCTACAAAGTAAAAAAAGACTGATCAGAAAATTTTGTTCTTCTCTTCTGATATTTTGGAGCCAGACACATTACATTAAAAAGGCGTAAATCAACCTCCAAATGAAACAGACAATTAAATAAAACATGATTTAAAATTTTCAGTTAAACTCCTTCACAGAGCAATTATCTTTCTTCAAACATGTTCAATTGGTCAGGTATGACAGAAAAAGTTGAATGTAATTCGTTCCCCATCTTTCTGATTGTAGGTCCTGATAGAAATCGATCAGGATGTTACTAAAAAACCAAAACCACAATATCTCAATATGAATAGCAAAGTACTGAAGCTGCGAAATATTGCTTAGATGGATTGGGAGAGCATTAGCAGAAACTGCACCGAACATCGCCTTTATTGTTCTCATGAGACCAGAGAGTTGTGGAAAAGAAACGACACATAATTGACAACGACTATTGCCGAAAGAATCAATGAGTATTTAAGATATTGTCATAGTTACCTCCGTACACGACCATCACAAAAGTGCCCGCGGCTCCTCTGATTTTCATGACAATCTGACGTGGAAAAGTTGGATTCCGAGAAATCTGACAATGAGTAAATCTTTCGTCGCGGCCGCCCAGGGAGTGACGCGACCTATAGGTGACTATCGAACAAATACAAAGCAGTTGACAATCTATGTCAAAGCACTTTGTTCGAAAGAAATGAGTGTTTGGTCAACAGTGAAGAAATTCACACGGCTTTTTGAGCAAAATTAGACTATCTCTTAAGCGAGAAGTTTGAAATGTACGATCTTTCCTTCTTAAATGCCTTCAAAGAGCAACGAATCTGAGCTGTTCGAAGCATTGCGCCAAATTTGAATTAATTTGGCGGTCAATGTGTCAACACAAGGGTATAAAGCAAAAGTGGAACTTTAAAAAATCTTTAGATTGTGCCCTCACACATCACTTAAACCATTTCGCATAAGAAGGGCCCCTGGTTTCCCAGCGAAGGTCAACCGTCCTAAGGGCGCTGAGTCGCGGCGAAGCGATCGACGCGGCCGCTGGGGAGCATCCGAGAAGAAACTAATGGTTTATTGCATTCAAGGTATTGTGTAATCTGAGCTCATAGGTATAGTTTTGGTACCAAAACAGGGATTGATCAAACCGGAGTTGATGTACGAAATTTGTGATTTTGGTAATAAAGTGTTTGTTGTTTTAAAAAATGATTGAATTTTTCCAATGTTTCTGTCAAACCTTTAGAGGCCCATTCACGAATCAAGACACCTGGCCCTTCTAAAAATAAATGTATTGATCACACCACTTTGAAGGTACGTCACTATATATAGTGGCGTCATATCAGTTGCCTTGTACAAACGTACAAAATATCAGCCACGTGCATTTTCATGGACAGCGCTGGCGGAAGAGACGCTGGGCTGAACAAAGGCTAGGGAGCGGAAGGGAAGGAGTGCCGTGTCATGGGTAGCAGACTTGGGAACCCCTAGGCAGGCCGGCGGCGAAAACGCGTCGGCGGAAACAGCGAGATGACGCAGTTCCGTCAGCCGGCCCAGAAGGTATATAAACGGACCCAGACCTAAACTCTTTCTTCTGATTCTTGGGCGCGTGGGTAGGAAGTCGTGTGGGTTGTGCGCGGCGCTGCATTTTAATGCATAGGCTACTGAGGCAGGGGACTGAAGCCGGCGTGCTACGTCGAGACGGGAGATGCGGCATACTCGCTTGTATGTTCACGTAGGCTACTGGTGCATCACACCGAATATATTTAATTATCAGGCCAGCGGTGGTGGTAACCAGAGAACATTCCTTCTAGTAACAGGTCAATATTGTTATTTGTAAATATTGTACATAGTATTCATGTGTTGGAGCATTTGTATTAAAATAAATACTTAATATTTACAAACCGTTTACGTCTGTGATTTATTGCCCCGGCAAAGACGCCGTATGATATGTACAGATTTATTGACAAGTTTTTATACACAATCTACAGTCCTCGGAAACTAGAGCTGCACTCCCAGCACTGCGGCATACCCGCCTCAGTCTCACGCAGACCCAAGCGGCTTGGTGCCGGTCCTGGTTTCTCGTCCCGTGGCAACCGCCACACCTCTCAGCCGAAGCTCGCGATAACCCCTGGCCGGTGAAAAGTGCCTTCCGCACCGCGATTCCGATCGACAACGAATGACCACGACTGGTTACTCTCCAGACCCCTTGCGAGGGATCACGTGACAGACCACCCATGCCGGCTGCGTCCTCTCGAAAATGCGTCCTTGCAAAACGGGCTGCACCGCGGCTGGACTCCCCCATCATCTCCCTCTGCGCCAGTTGACACCCGCGTTCCGAGACACGCCCACTCCGGCCCTTGAGGACCCGTGTCTGGTGGACTTGCCGCCAAAGGACTGCCCCCGCCCCCTCGCTTGCCTTGTGACATGTGTGGTCCACCTGGCGCAATGGCACGACGTTACAATATATTTATGTACAAACAGCTTTAATTACTAAGCTTTGAGAAGACAGACACATCTAAGACTGCTCCAAGGAAGACACTCATAAATGCCAAATTTTCCATCACAAAAATACTTGCCAAATAGAAAATACTTTAAAATCACCACCCTTTCAAAAGGAGCCTAAACGTAAGTACTACAGAGAATCACATTAAGACAAAGTTGCTATCACTTTAGGCGGGGCGTATTTTAAGGAAACGTCATTTTTTTCTTTCTCGCCCACTTTACAGAACAATGTCAACAGTTAGTACACCAATTAATTTTATGAAGCTGATAAAAGGATATGACCCATTTTTATATGAAGCTTATTTATATTATTTTTATATAATTATTATTATTATTATTATTTCGCCCAATAAGTCTTCCATACCTTTTCTCATTATTTTAAAGCATTTTCGCCGTTTTCATCAATTTTAAATACTATTTTAATGGTACTTGCTTCAAATAATATTTCCGAGATGCAAAAAAATGTTCTCCGCAGAATTGAGTAGCCAATTTGATTTCAGAAATTATAAGTCAGCCGTTGTATGATTCCTCTGATGTCTATCAATGCCATTGGCGGTTTGGCCTATTTCAGGATAATTACAGTCCAACAGTCAAAATCAAAAGTTTGTACAGAAGTACGAACAGTCAAAATAAAAAGTTTGCAAACTGAGTGCACTTAAAGGAATAGAAGAACCCTCACTTACATCCAGGATATTTCTATTTATTATCAAATGTATCTACTCTTATGGAATCAATTTCATCCTTTTTGTCATTTCCTTCCAGGTTCTAGGAAGTTGGACACATGCTTCATTTAAAATTATTTTCATCATCACTATTGAATTCATCTGTCACTAATTTCCAATTCTTTCGATACACTTTTGATTTACTCATAACATCTTACTCTTCATAATTTATGTACACGATGTATGTAAAGTGTTGCAAAACTGCACATTTACTCTAGGCAGATGATTTGAAACTATAACGTGTTATTGAGTAGTCAAGATTGTAATGTTTTGCAGTATGATTTGAATTTATTCATGAAATGATGTGCTTCAAAACATCGGATATTGAATGTAGCAAAATGTTAAGTGATGTCATGCACTAGATTAATAAAGTGATTGATTTTACCTATGAAAATAGAACATTTTGTATTAGAAAGTGTTTCAAACCATAGTGATATGGATCTAACTTTTGATTTGAAACTCACAATTAACTTACATATTGAATCAATAATAATTAAATCTAACTGAATGTTGTGATTTGTGAAACACTGAACTACTGATTTTAATGGTATTCAAACTATGAAAACTCTTTATATTTCTCTTATAAGGACATACCTTTTTCATTTATATAGTATACAAACTAAATTAACATCTCATGATTTTAATAAAATCTCATCTTTGTTGAATTTAAGCTCATTGAGATCTTAAAGAGAATACTTCGACTTGTTTTTTATATTTAGTCTCATTGATTACAATATAAATGCTGATAAATTATACTCAATAATCAAATGGAATACCCATGCTCATGACTTGCATACAAATATCAATGAATTGTTTGATATTCCATTTCCTCATACATATTATTCTCATCATTCCCCAATATTGAAGTTTTGCCATTTAGCAAACAGCAATCCAAATATTAAGAGGATCTTATCACCGTATAAGTTTAAATATTCATTAAAAAGTTTATTGGTATAGGATTTTCATTAATTTTATCTGTGATATTGTACATTTATTCATTCCTTTCTTTTGTACCTTATACAATACATATTCTTTGTATTATCATGATATATATTGGGCTATTGCCTGTTACTCAAATAAATAAACATTACATATAATAAAAGGTACCAGGTTTAGGAGAAGGGCACCGTCCCTTTGTTCATAGTATTATCAAGACAAAATAACTACTTACCTCTTTTCAAAATGTAATAAGAAACCAAAATTGATACCAAAGTAACTGGATTCTTTCAATAAACATCCTTCCACAGAAGCTTCCGTCATTGAACAAAGATCAAAAGGGCTCAGTTTCCGTAAGGCATCACAATTGTGATATATATGCTTTAATTTTTTCTTACTAAATAAGATGTCGCAAAAACATATAGCCACTAGGGAAGAAAGAAATAGAAAACTATGGATTTCTCAAGATCAATTAGTTCTTAAGAATTGTAAGAGTAGAGGAGGAATGGTACCTAGAAGGCCACTTTAATGCACTGAAGGATTAATCAGCAACTTAAAACAAACACTAGTAGTTAAAATAGCACATTCTTACTTGTATTATTTCTAAAGGATGAGTAATTTTAAAATTTTCTAATGTATCCCCCTAATTCTTCAGCATTCTAGCCAAACACATTTCAGGAAAACCAGCACACAAGATTCAAATTTACAATTTCTATCCATATTACATTTTTTCTCTTTCCAAAACTCTGACTGCCTTCACAACCCAGTAATTTGACATAAATAGCAATTTTCATGACCAAAAGATTCCCAAGTGATAATTTTAGATACAATTCTCAACTTCACATACAGAATGTCAGTGAATTCTAAATAATCTTTTACATAAAGTAGCATATTTTTGGAAACCAATTAGCAAAATTACTTTATTTAAAATAAAAACTTAGAGGGGCTTAAACAGCACATACTGTTTCGGAATACTTCTAGTGGCTTCACAATACACATTATATACAATATATATTTAACATGAACCTGCAAGTGTTTTCAAACAGCAAAAAAGTTTTTTTCTCCAAGAATCAAACTCAGGACCGCAAATTTACTGGCTGTGCACTTTATCTTTACACCATGCAGTGTAGTCACTTGGGCAGTCATGAGAAAACATAATTGTCTCTCCCAATATTTTGAACATGCAATCCCACACAATTTTTCAAAATTGAGTCATAGCAGACAGTCACCACCTTTGCTGTCAATTTTTCAGTACTAAGAATCCAGAAAACATGAATCTGACCCTCACATATTCAAGGACAACTTTGTATATAAAGGAACAACAATTATCCAATTTTTTGTTACCAAGGCTGGTAAAATAAGATTTTCACCCTTTCTTGTGGAAGGAATTACATACTTTTCCTTCCTACAAAGGAAAGAAAGCAAAAATGCATATCTGCAACCCCTACATCCACATTAAATATCTTTCAATAATTTGCGCTTTATGTAACTGATATTTTCTTGCTGTCCCTAGTGGCTTGAAGGTTAGCACAGTAATCTGGTTCAGCTCAATTCTAAAATCCAAGTTCATACATTCAATGTTCGCTAGGAGCACCAGAAAAATACTCTGTGTGCTATTTCACCCTTGTGGCCAGTAAAAGAGCCTTGGCAGGTCCCCAATGAAGTTAAATCCTGTTAATATCCCAACCTACCAAGATGTTACGGTCTCTCAATAAGGTAGTTCAGACATTACCCAAGACATATCTGGCAAAGAAAGTGTGGGACATGCCCACGCACCTCAAGAAACGCTAATGAAACCAACAACAGAGAGCAATAAAAATTTACTGATTTTGCTGTATATTCACATGGTTATATATGAATGTTGTTTCTAATAAAACACTGCTTTGGTGTGTTTCAAAGAGTTCACCGGTTATCTATTATACTGCCAACTTAGAAGAGAAAATTCTCCTTGCTGCAGACAATGACGCAGACAATGCAAACAAATTTTCTTTAAATGTCTAGTTCCACACCTTATTTTAAATGCCTTTTCTGCCCCCTACCGGCAAGTTTACTACATGCACTCACCTGGATCATGCTGAATTGAGGAATGGTCGTCACCCATAGATTCAATATTAGGATCATCCATTGTCATATCATCAAAGTCTCTCTCCGACTCATCCGACTTTACCTCCAAATAACTATCAGTCACAGGTTCAGTTTTAATTACAGTGTTCACATCTGATGGCACAGTATCTCCTGAATGAAAAGTAGACACAGAGGGGGACAAACACTGATTCTTCTCCAGTTTTTCTCTATCACGGTTAGTTTCTACTCTAACTGGGCAAGAGGTAGAAGCCGATGGTATGGTGTAGGAAGACACGATAGCAGGTAAAGACGGAATAGGGGAAGAGTCTGATGTTTCTCTATGAGTTAGAGAATGAGTTAGATGATGGTTAGAAGAACTTTCACTGCTATTCTTATCGCTGTCAAGGGTGATGCAACTCTCCACAGTATTCTCACTTTCCGTGAAGGTGACTTCCTTTCTGCTGGAATTTGCTTTTGGAGGAACTGCAGCCTTCAATCTCTTTGGTGTTGGAGACTTTCCTCTAGCATCCTGAAATTACATAAAATACATTTACTAAACTTTCAAATTACAGATGAAGTCAAATCTGGCCTAAGTACAATGTGACATTATTTCTTCACATTGTTTTATTTTTAATTTCTTGTGTTAAAATTTGACTGTCTATAAATACATAGAGGACCAGACATGCATAGTTATATTGTTTTATTTTTATTCACTTCATTTTTATTTATTAAATTGTTTATTTAATTTGGAAATTAACAAATATAGTTTCATGATCAACTCAACTAAATCACAAGAATTAAATTTTTTTACTTGATCTCATGAATCTGGTGACCATTAAACCTTAAATACAAGTCCAAACATCCCTAGAATCTGAGCAGCATCACCTAGCACAATACTACAGCAGCAACTAGTGTATTCACTTCTATGTTTCCATTGTCAATGTATTACTTCTCTGATATTCCTAAGTGTTAGTGAATCTAATAATTTTAGGTCATTAAACAGTTGACAGTTATACCAATACCAGACCAGTGCTCGGAGAACACAGGGAATTCAGGGGGGTGCTCAACAGCATACCCCAGAATATAATTAAACTAATATAATTAAAAGAAAATTTTATTTATTCATGGACTAATACTACATGTATTTTATATATATTTACCAATACATTACAATTAGTTTCTGTACGAGTTAAATTTTTTTTTTGTTCATTTACGGCAAGGATATATATGTGTATGTGTATTTATATATATGTATT